CCCCCCCCCTTTTTTTGCCGTTTAAGGGGAGGGTTTTTCTTTCTCAGGGTGGGGGGTAATTCTCTTTTCTCCTTTTTGGAAGAGTGGCTGCAGCTCGGTAAATAGAGGAAGTGAAACTGAACTCAATTATTCCAGGCACAGTCAATGCTCGGGCGAGACACCTCCATCTGCAGCCAGAGCAAGCGTCTCTGAGGGGATCTGACTGTAACAGCCAACTGCTTTAAAATTAGGTACTTCCTTATTCCAAAAGCAAGCCAAGGACTGAATTGCAGCAACACAGTACTTCCCAGCTCCCCACCAGTGTGGGCAGAGGTTTAGCCCAGCTGCTGCCTCCCCAGCTGGCAGGGGCGAGGGGGAAGGTGCAGGGCTTCCCTGCGGCCCCTCTCCTGCACACGTGCTGGCAATCCTGGGACCGCACCGACTGCGGGATCATTTGCAGGGTTACCGACATCGCAGCAGAGCTGGGCTAGCAAATGCTTCTCCTACAGAAGCCTTTCTCCTCTGTGGTTTTCTTCCCTTTGTCTCTTCGTGCCTCCAGAAGAAAGGGAGGGAGAGGTCAAGATGCACACAGATGCACGCACAGTAAGCCTGCTGTGTCCAAGACCGAGGGCAAGACAGGCCTGCTGTATGGGAACAAGAAATATTTTCCACGTACCCACACACAGAGAAATATAATACGGCCAAAATATTTATCTCGGAGAGTTTGTTTTCCCTTCCCATTTATATCAGGGAAACAGGGACTGACTGGTGGAAATATTCTTGGGAGGGCAAAGGTAAATACCAATACTTTGGGTTCAGGCTTATCAGCAATTTTTGCACCACAGAACTGAAAAGCTAAAGGGTGGAAACCTATTTCCACCGGAGTTAGTGGCAAAGCACCCCCATTCCCTGCAGAAAAGCCCAAAATCTGACGGTGACTGCAGGAGGGCTCAGCCCTAGTAGCTCTAAAGGCTCAGTCACAATTCTGTGTACGAAGTCGGGGCTGTGGAGCCCGGTGTTCGGGTGTCCCCCCCTGCCCTTCTGCTCCCACCTCAGCTCTGTCACCGCTCTCAAGTCACCAGATGCAGGAACAACCCCAGGAAGGATTTCCACAGGACGACACAGAAGCTGGTTACCGTGGTCCCTCCGGCCTCAGCATGTACCTGATTTACAACTAGTACAGCACCAGCCCTCAGCACGCTGCACCCAGTCACTGGCCCTCTCTGATTTTAAAGCCCCTAGAGCAGGAGGGCTCCTGCCCTCCCTCCCGGCCCTCCTCAGGAAGACACTGCACCGTCTGCTCCGTCTCCGCGCATGGCTGCACCCACTCACCTCTGCTCTGGCAGTTTGGAGAATGATAACAAATAGGTGCCAAGCGGCTGGAAGGGACGCACCTTCTATTATAATAATGACATGTCACTGGATCCTGCTGGACTGCGAGGATGCATAAAGGGCACATCTATTCCCTGCCAGGCCTCCTCTGTCTTGCTCTGTGATAAATGATGGTCCGAGAGACTGGTAATGGATTACGGAGCATTTCACCAGATGGGGCCCAGCGTGTAGGGACTGAAAAGAATCCATCGTCCCAGGCCAGCGTCTTGTAGACAGGTGTCCACGTAAAAGCCCTCACCACCCATGCCGTGATCCATTTATAATTTCCCTCCCTCCTCCCGATACCCAGCTGCTTCAGAAGAGAAGCCAAAGGCTGACCGGGCCAGGGAGAGCAACCCTTCTGGTCAGCTCAGCGAGGGAAACCTCTGCTGCGAATCCAGCAGCCAGGCTGCGACGGGGCCGTCCCTGCTGCGTGGAAACACCCGAGTTTGGGCTCCCAGCATCACAGGAGACAACTCGGGCGCCAACTGGGAGACCAGTGCACAAAGCAAACCTGCTTGGCAGTCAGCCCACCGATGGGTTCAATCAATTCTGCTGCCACTCTCCCACCCCTCCCTGTGCGTGCACCCCCTCCATCCCGCACGCCGGCGCGGGCTCGGGTCACGGCGCGGCACTGGAAGCCTTGCGTTAATTGCTCTCCAGACTACAGATCGATAGAAGGATTTTAGCCTCCTGCACACTCCATCCTTCACCTTTTCCAAAGGACGGGGCTGGAGGAGGGTGGTGGGAGGAGGAGGGGAGCAAGGCTGCTGAAACCTTGATGAGATGAGGTCATCGAGCAGCCGCCAGATCCCCAGAAGGCAGCTCAGGGAATCGACCCAGCTCTGGCTGCCTCATCGATATTCTTCCCAGTAGGGACGGAAAACAGTGCTCTACCTCCAAAGGAGGAGCCTCCCCTGGCCCCAAGACCAGAGGAACTGCCTGAAACTCAGTGGTCATTTTCAGCCAGCCACTTCTCTCCTCCCTCCAGCTCTTTCTTTCGGCCTGCCGCGTTACCTGCCCTGTTTAGGTGGCTACTTTAGAACACCAGCCCCCAGCGTGCAGCCGCAACCATCCGGGCTGAAAGAGCAGCCCTTGTGCAAAAAAAGATTACAGAAATTATCTGGCACCAGGGGAGAGGTGGGTGCAGTTCTGTCTTCAGGTGGTTTGTGCTCCCCAAGGGCCAAAGTAACACATTTTTCATGGACACACGTTACCTCAGCACACCCCAGGGTCCCCGCAGTGTTTGCATCAATACAGCCCTCAATACTTCAGCTGCTGAACTCCCAGCTGCCCCATCGACCTGCACTGTGCTGCATCAAACCAGATGCCCTGTCTCCCCAAGGCTGTTTCAGGTGAGAGCTTTTGCTGTGGAGTTGTTCAGTGCCTCCCACAACAGGGCCTAACCTCAGTGCTGCTGTCCTGCAAACAGGCAACGAGAACAGTCACGAGAATGGGTGAAGCAAGCTGAAAGGAAAAGAGCCCTCAGGAAAAGACCTACAGCCCTGGAACAGGCTCCACAAATCAGAAGTGCCTGAAAACTGGGCAGTGAAACACAGCCCGGCTCTTTCCTGAGTCCTCGAGACAGGATCATGATATAAATTCGAAGTGATAATAATAAATGGCCTATTACAGTAACTCGCGCGTTGCTGGGGGAGGGAGGAAACCCATCTACAATCCAGGCCTCCCTGCAGAGCCTCACGCAAGTGATGAGCACCACAGAGCCGTGCGTTTCCCTTTTTAATGGCCAGGAGAAAAAGGCTCCTGCGAGGAAGCCTCAGCAGCCCAAGGCAGCAGGAATATTTATCATGTTGGCCACCTGCCTGTCATAGAAAAATCACTTCCTCCTTCCTGGTTGGAAGGCAGCTCTAATGAGTGATGGGCAGCCGCCTTCACAACCGCGGCAGCTCTTTGCATAGAAAACAGGCAGCCTCGGCGACCCACATGCCGTGCCCCCCCTTTTCTCCCTCCGCCACGTGGCAGGAGGTCCTACCTCCTGCTAATTGCTCAGCCAAGTAATTAGATGAGGCAGATTTTGGCTCCTGGCTAGGTTAGCGGGGCTGCCACCCTGCTCTGCCCACAGGAGACCTCTGGGCAGAGCAGCTACCAGGGCTGGAAACCCCACTTGGTACTCAGTGCTCTGTGTCCAGCTGTGCCAGCCTTTGCTGCCCATCTCCACAGCCCAAGGGACGGCGCCACGGGGACCAGATTGCTGGCAACGGCTTCCCTGCCTGTCCATCCCATCCGACAGGCACCAGTCCAGCTACACCAGGGCCTGGGCGACTGAAAAACATACCACAGGCAGGGGAAAGAGCCCATCTACCTCTGTCCTGGGAAAGGGGCACAGCAGTGGAAATTCAGACCCTTCCAAGGGCATGGGGCAGCCAAGATGTCTAAGTCACAGAATCACAGAATCATCTCGGTCAGAAAAGCCCTTGAAGCTCCTCCAGTGCAACCATGAACCTCATCCTGACCATTCCCAACTCCCCCAGATCCCTCAGCGCTGGCTCAGCCCGACTCTTCAACCCCTCCAGGGGTCTCGGGGACTCCCCCCCTGCCCTGGGCAGCCCATTCCAACGCCCAACAGCCCCTTCTGCACAGAAATCCTTCCTCAGAGCCAGCCTGACCCTGCCCTGGGCAGCTTGAGGCCATTCCCTCAGGGCCTGGCGCTGGGGCCTTGGCTCCAGAGACTCATCCCCCCTCTCTGCCCCCTCCTGGCAGGGAGTTGCCGAGGGCCAGGAGGTCTCCCCTCAGCTCCTCTTCTCCAGACTGAACCCCCCCAGTTCCCTCAGCCGCTCCCCAGCAGACCTGTGCTCCAGACCCTGCCCCAGCTCCGTTGCCCTTCTCTGGCCACGCTCGAGTCCTTCAATGGCCTTTTTGGGGTGAGGGGCCCAGAACTGAACCCAGTAATCAAGGTGTAGCCTCACCAGCGCCAAGCACAGGGGTGAGACCCCTTCCCTGTCCCTGCTGGCCACACTATTGCTGATACAAGTCATTGCTGGGGAATTGACACCCCATCCCAAAGGTGCTGCCCCAACCGCTACCCTGGAAACGTCCCAGATATGACACTCAGCAGGAAGAATGCCGCAGCCTTAATCCCTTCATTTCCCTCACCTCACACCACGGCGATGCACGGAGGGAGAACAGAGCACGTGGGAATCAGCCAGCCCCCTCCGCTCCAGCCCTGCGCATCCCCAGGGCCCTCAGCACCTTCCCCTGCAGAACAGCCTCAGCCTGGCTCCCAGCCCGTGGCCTCTGCCCACACGGGGCAGATCCAGCTCCCCCGGGGAAGCTCTCCTTCCCTTCCTCTGTCCTGCTGGGCCTGGGTGTTTCTCTCCAACCTGGCCCCTCCAGTCCCCACACCTTGGAAATCCCACGAGCACAGCCCAACAGGCTTGAGAGCCTCTCAGGCCACCCTTCCAGCTACAAATACTTCTGGCTCTTTACTTTGTAGGGCAGCACCTTTCAGCCATTAATAATTTTTTTGGCCTCTCCCTGAAGCCCCCTATAATTTACTGTCCTGGAACACGGCTTCCAAGGAAGGGCCCAGCAACTAAAATCCCTTAGTCCATCATCTTGGGATCCCCCTTCTCACGTGCTTGGGACTCACTTCGTCCCTGCTAGTCGTCTTTATGACCCTTGACTTGCTTTATTGCAAAGGGAGTCCTTTATACTAATTAAAAGAAGGTGCTTGGTTCCCTGCAGAGAAAAAGAGAACTACAACCACGCCACATAAGAGGAAGGGGGCAGAATCCCACTTCTACACGCTGCAAAACCTGTCGCTGTGCCGGCCAGTAACTCAGCAGCACCCACCTGCATGGAAGTACGGGCTCATCGTGTAAGGGAATCCGAAGGGCAGCGGCTGAGGTGGTGGGATGGAGGCTGGCGGGAGATATTTCACCTCGTTTTTGTTGATGCCCGGGCCGAGCAAATGGCTGGGAGATTCGGCGCTGGAGGAGCTGCAGGGGGCATTTTGGCCAGCAGCCGCCTCCCCCAGCTCCTTGGCGCCTTCACACACTTTGCCCGTCTCTTTGCACTCCTTAAGCTCAGCGGCCGAGCTGCTGCTCTCAGCCTTCAGGCTCTCGGGCTTCTCGTCGCTCACGTCCGCGTCGCTCTCAGAGTCCTTCATCTCCTCATCGTTACAGTCTGGTGCCCCGTCGCGCGCCCGGGGCTCCGCCAGCTCCTTGGCCTCGCTCAGCCCCTGCGGCTCGGCGCGGTGATGTGCGGATTTGCGGCTGCCCCGCCGGGGCTGCTCCTTGGGCGGCGTGGCGCTGCTGGGGACGCTGGGGTTGAGGGACAGCAGGGGAGTGTTGTTGTGGCGCAGCACCAGCATGGCGTTCCTCCGGGAGAGCTCCTCCCGCAGCGGGTGGCCCTCGGGGATGTCGTGCACGTTGCGCAGGGCCGGGTGGTCGGGGGGCAGGCCAGGGTGCAGGCTCAGCGGGTCACCAGCCAGTAGCCTTTGCCTGTGGAGATTCTCCAGCTCCTTCTGGCGGATGATCTCGGCCGACATCTCCAGCCTAAATTGGGAGAGGCAAGAGAGGGAAGGTCAGCAGGGGGGAGCTCTGCAAATAATTCACTTCCACACCCGCACCTCGCTTCCATCGGTCTCGCTCCATCGCCTGCGCACAAGCTCATCCAACACCGCACCCCACGTTACTCTGCCTGCTGCTAGGAAAGGGAAGGAGAAACCCAACGCCGGCCCAGGCTGGCTGGCCCTCCGCACTCTTTACCTTGCCAGGTTCTGCTTTCGTAGCATCTCTTGCTGCCGCGCAAACATCTCTGCTTGTGCCGGCTGTAGGAACCCGTAACCTGGGGACAGGGAGAACAATAATCTGGGGTTATTAATCTCAGCACTGACTCTTCGCTAAATCGGGGCCAGCTCCCCAGAGGGCTAACGGAGCAGGAAAAGGGCAGCGGAGAGCTGCCTGTCTGTTCTAGAGCCCATCTATCCCCTCACTCCCAAGGCAGTGCAGACTGCTGCTGAAACATGGGACCAGGGAGGCTGGTGGGGATTAAAAGAGAGAGCAGGCAAGGCAACCTGCTCCTGTCACTGCAAAACAAGGGTGAATCAGCACAACAGTAACGGGGAAACACAGACAACGTGTCCGGGCTGTCTGGCTGAAGGAGAGTTTCTCTCCCTACCCACTTCCCCCAGCTGCTCGCAAGTGTTTCCCTGCACTCACCTGGTGTCTGGCAGAGGGCCGAAGGCACCCCAAGGAAAGGAGGTCTCAAGTGGGGCCCCAGAGCAATATGGGGCGCATTCTGGGGTGAAAGCAGAGGTGGTGGGTGGGATATCTCCCTGCAGAAATCAGAAAATAAATTCATGTTGGAAAACCTGGAGGCTCCATATGCAGCGGCCAGCGAAGAGCCCGCAGACGACCTGAATTCCGTACCGGAGGCTGCTCCCAGACAGAAAGATGCCTATTCACCCCCACGCAAAACTTTTAAAAGCGACAGAAAAAAGAAAAGCAGCAGAACTAGAAGGGGTAGGAAGCAGCCCAGTCTCCACAGGTCCCACATAATTCCCACCTTGATACGTTTGCTTCAGTGGGCTTTCAGCTGGGCTGTTCAAAGGGGTTTTGGCAGCCCAGGGCTAGCAAAGGCAAGGCTGAAGACATTGTGTCTGCCTGTCCCCTCAGCAAGCTTGGGCTTCTATCTCAACTACCTTACAACTGAAAAGGCATTCTGTATTTTGGGAGCTGGAGAGCAGGTTTAGGAAGATTTGAAGGCATCACTGGCGAGCCTTGCAAAAAAAAAAAAAAAAAAAAAACACAACAAAAAAAAACCCCACTGTCCTAGCTGAGACAAGGCATGTTCTTTAATTCTGGAGAGAAAAGCTGTAAGTGAGGTAGAGGAAGACACAAACAGGAGAGATGGGGAGAGGGATGTGAGCAGAAGTGACAGAGGAAAGGCGTACTGCTGGGGAAGGGGTGGGTGATGCTGGCCAGAATGGGTAGAGCAGGTGTAAGGTGGCAAGCAAGCTGGAACAGGCAGGCTTGAGGGGTGGGGAAGAGGACAGTGCCTGGAAACAAGGCAGGTAGTGCTGGCAGGGAGGGGAGGGGAAAAAGCAAAAAAAAAAAAGCAGGAAGGGAATAAGAGCCAAGGTCTCTTCCATTAGTCAAATCTGCCCTGGGAGCCTGCAAGCAAATCTCTGCTTTCCGGCTGCACGTCTCTTAATTCCTTTTGATGGCCACTTACAACATTATTACCTTCACCAGGGCATCTAGAGGCAAAGCCAAGTGCTGTGCCGTTTATTTTCATTTTACAGTATCTCCCTATAAAATCTGCTTCAGGAGAGACCGGAGGGCAGGAGAAAGGGAGCAAGAAGGTGCGTGTGACTTTGCAACAAACAGACCGTACGCACAACCACACCCCCCCTTTTTTTTTCAGTGGGGGGCTGACGTGGGATGTGGGATACCGTGAGAATCCCACACAGCGGGGCATGGGCTCCCACCACGGCTCCTGAAAAGCCAGACAAGGACTCTTTGGGGATGAGGTGGGCAAGGAAAGGATTCTTGTCCTTTCCCTAGATCTTCCTGGCGTAGTTTTATCCTCATTCCGTGCAACTGCCACTACAAAGCACTGCCACTCACTGATCCACAGCGCATAACGGGCTGAGATTCCCCTCCGAAATTCCTCCTTCTCCCCACCCCGTGCCCATCTGCCCATCCCTGCCTCCCCCCTTCCCGTCTGTCTCTACTCCCCTTCTCCCCTTCCCCTGGCTGTCTCCATCTCTCCTTTCCTCCTCCTTCCTCCCCTAGCTCTCCTCTAAACTAATTGCACAGCTCGCTGTGTCTGGAGGAGAGCCACAGATCGATCCGTCGCTGTTGAAATGTTAATGCTAATCGTATAACCGCTCCGCCAGCACCTCGCACTTCAGTGGCAGCTCCAATTAATCTCAGGTAACGCAGCGCGTGACCTTCGGCTCAGAGCCGGGGCAGCAGCCAAGCGATGCTTATGTAATTACACCATGAAGTGTGTAATCACCTGCCCTAATCCCCGAGGCCTCACAATTAGCCGAGGCCTCGGTCGCTGGGCTGCCAAGTGCTTTGCCACCCCGGACAGCCTGCAGATGAATAACGGACAATTAAAGCGGCATGACGGGGGCTAGGAGGTGTCCGTTCGATCGTAATTAGCTGTAATCATGGGGAGACGAGCCTGGCAGACGTGCTGTTCGTTTTATAAGAAGCAATTTAGGAAATCAAGTCGCTTTTAACCATTCCATGGCCAGGCCAGCGGTGGCCGTGCCCGCCCTGCCTTTTATGTGTGTGGAAAAAGGGATCCTGCACGAGAGCGAATGCACAGAAGCCCTAGGTGCGGGCTGCACACAGAGGGCTCAGAAGGAAATGCTAAAAACAAAGAGAGCTTCTTGATTTTAGGCAGGAAGAGCCAATCTGTGCCTAGGAAGCATTCCGTTTGATAGGGATCAGGACTGGGCACCGGGAAAATAAAAGGTTCTCCCTTTTGTGGCAGCCCAGTGTTCACGCGAGGTTATTTTTATGCTCTAATGTTGCATTACAGGACCTTACTTTGATCCCTAAGGAAGTCACAATGGCTCCAGACTCTGCACTTCGTTCCCTCTGCCCCCTCATCAGAGCTGTGCAGCTTCCCTAACTTTTGGGGCAAGGGACCAACTTCTACCGTGGAGTGGCCAGCGAGCCGTGCCCCGGCACAGCAATTCCCGCAGGATCTGATCCCGCTGCCACGCACGTGGCTGAGCACCACAGCCTGCGGTGGCTCGAAAGGGGCTGGAGGTGGTGGAAAGTTTGTAAGAGGGGCTGTAAAACGCACCAGGAGAGACTTCAAACGTCAGAGGTCGGCCACCACTTCCGCTACACATGCTGGGGATGCGTCCAAAGGTTTAGAAAATTCATCGTGTCTGCCCAACACAGCGGACCACGCAGAGAGCCCGGGGTTGTTCTCCGCACAGGGCAAAGCTGCTGGGTGAGGCCAGATCAGCCCGACCAGCCAAAGGCCCCACGACTGGCACTGTTATGCCTGGAGTCTGTGGCCTGAAGTCGGAGAAGGGAGGCTGAGTACGGCCAAACACGAGGGAGTCACTGCACCTTCTCCTGCCACCCCCTAACGCTCAGCACCAGCCCCCAGCAGCAGGTAACTTAAAAAGCAGGTATGCTCATAAATACTGGGGGGACACGGGACTCTCCTCCCTGCAGGTGGACTGACAGTCGTGCCGCAGAGTCCCCGAGGAGCAGTTACCACGAGGGACAGAGGCTTGCTGCCGCCCCACAGACCCAGACATCCAGGCGTGGAACCTCTTGGAGCCTGTCACTGCTCCCTCCCAGCCCACCCGCCCGATCCTTGGCACCAAAACCTGGCCCAGGAGGGAGGAGAGTGAGCTGGTCGTGTCCTGGCACGGAGCTGGGAAGCCCTCCCAGGCTGCCCGGTACAGATACAGCCAATTGCTGGGAAATGAACTGGCAACCCTGGAGTAAAAAGCCCCGGAGACCTTAACAAAGGCTGCTGCGCTTTTAGACAGCCATGCACCAAAACACAAATCCTTGCATCCTTTCTCAGGTACAGAACAGCCTTCAACCTCCCATTAATTTTCTTCTTCCTCTTCTTCCACCTCTCAGAGTAAGGGCTGAATTACAGTCCCATACTCTGAGAATGTGAATTTAGCCCTTGGCAATTACATCTGATAAGCCTTGTCCTTACCTTGCAGAGAGCAATTCTGTGTTACTGCATATTCCTCCCCCCACCCCTTTTTTTTTTTTTTTTTTTTGGAGGCTTGTGAGCAGGGTATTAGGGGATTTGCACTGCATGCTGCTAAATTTGATATGTCCTTTAACAGGAGACAAATGGTTCACAAGGCTTAAAAAGTATCGACTTTTCTTTAACAATAAGCACTAATGGCCTTCAAATAATCAATATTTAAAGTCATTATGGGGTTACACATTATACTGTTAAAACCAAGCCTTCCACTTTAACCCCATCATATCCTGCCAAGCCCAGAGCAGTGTTCCCCCCAACTCACTCCAAGCTCAGAAGGAAGGCTCCAAGCACAGGCTGTGACTGGAGATGTGAGAGGGTCAGGAAATGCAGATTGAAACCGGCAAGGCATGGAAATAAATTTAGAACGGATGGAAGAGAGGAGAAAAAAAAAAAAAGAATGCATGAAAGCTCTGCTTTCTTCTGCTTTGCATTTGATAGGAAGAGACACTTTAAACCTGAGGTAATAGGGAGGCAGCACACAGCTCCTTGCTCGTTTGCCATCCGCAGACGCTGCCTGTGCCAGGAAGGGAAAATAAATAATATGAAAGGGCTTTCTAAAAATGGTGTTTGGGATTTCCAGGCAGAAGGAGACACGTTCTAGGGCAGCAATGAGGCCTGGACACAGACAGGGTCTGGTTTATGCTGCCAGGAGAAATTGCTCCCTCAAAATCCAAACTGGTGCTAAAACCAAATTAGTTAAATCAGGTCAAGCTCTTTGGCCTTTGCTCTGCATAACATTCAGCCAGCTGGGATCTGCAGAGGAATCCCCCCAGTGCAAAAATCAAAGAGGGATAGAGCATTGAGAGCAGCGGAGGGGGATGCGAGGCAGGGGTAGGTAAGAGCAGGAGAGAGAACGTGTCCAGAGAGGACAGGAGAACATGCCCAAGGAGCCAGGAGCGAAAAGGAAAGCCTCCGCAATTCAGGGGGGGAGGAATTAGGTGGTGAAAGAAAAAATGGTAGCTACAGCAGATGGAAAGAACGCAATCCAAAAATCCTTGCTGGGTATTTCAGGCACATCTTTGCACAGAGAAAGGCCTCTGGCTGATGCACAGTGTTTGTCAGCTCCCTGCAACGGAAGGGCAACGAGTGCATCTTGGAGACGCTGCGGCTCCCGCTCCCAGCACGCTCTAGCCGAAGGGCTCGGCTTCCCGGGGCCCCAGCAGATCAGGATGCCGATGGCATCTCAGGCAGGCAGTATTTCTTGCTCCTTGGCATTCCTCCTGCCTTCACCCCATAATTGTCTTTGGTCCTGGAAGATGAATTGTGTCCCTAATGCTTCTTGCAGACAGTACCCAAGACGGCTGGCTGCTGTTACCAGCGTACCTGCCTCAACGCTTGCCCTCTCTGGGGCTGAACACCGCCTTCTCGCCCTCCTGTGGGAGAGGGGCAGGTTCTCCCACGCAGACCCTGGGTCACACACTGTACGCACGACAAGAAGCTCCTAGCACCTCCTAACACAGAACTGATGCATCACAGTTAGCTTCACCATGCTGATCGCAGTGTCATGCAGCTCACCCCGTCTAGTCTGAGCACCCGTGAGGGTATGAAAGTCTTTCCCTAAAGGGGAGGGTGCATGCAAGTGTTCCTGAGGCGTCACACGCTGTGAAAAGCAGTCTGCTCAGTCCAAAGTCCAGACTACGATCAGGAGCGAGCTCTGCAGGCATGTACCAGGAGGTGAGCATCCTGGG